ATACGTTTCGCCGTACCGTTATTTTATCCCTTATCGGCTTTCACCCGAAATTTCGTGCAGTCTCAAGGCGCAGGTGACATTATTCTTTCGTTCTCACAGCGGCCATCCGTCTCTGTCCCCTTTTGTCTCGAGACAACAGCGAATACAGTCGCGGATGCCGCGTTGAAACTTCGGATGGCCTCCATAGTGGCTTGCGCAACGACGACCCAGATCTTTTGAACCAGATCTATGATCTCAACTACTCAGGGATCGATCGAGACGATTCATTAACCGGAATAGTACAGTTTCTTTCGATCGATAAAGCGATTTTTCTTTCTTTCTTTCTTTCTCCTGCAAATTGAAAAGAAGAGAGAAGAAATCTCTAGCTCGTTTTTAAAGAGATTTAATAATCTTCGAACGAGTAATTTTTATCAAATAGTAAATTCTATTAATTATTGATTAATAGAATTTTATTAATTATTTTTAAACGATTTTCTCAAATATCCAGAATTTTTCTCTTTGAATCAATTACTGTAATGAGCAATGAAGTATATATAAATGTTTTGAGTATATTCGAGGCCCATGGATCAGAAAAAAATAATAGAATTTTTATTTACAAAGGATCGTAATATAATTTGAGAGATAAAACATTATGAAAATTTTGAATGGACTTAATTCGACGACCAAAGGGATTACAATTTGACGAAGGTGAAATCTTTTTCAAGAACGTATACGTATAGTTACGAAATCGAAATATCCATATCGAAAATGTCTATCGCACAATCACTTGCCATGGGATGAAGGATAGCTGCCCCAGGTGGAGAGGCTCAAATAAATTTGTTTCTTTCGATTGGTTACACCGTTCGAAAGATTCTAAGAAGCACGAAGAATGAAATCTTTCTTGTTAAAACCAGAGAAATTTCGAGAAATTAACCAGGAGAAATCTTTGAAAGAGACTTTTTCCATCGTTTATCACATTAGAGAGTATTTCGTACTTCCGCGTTTTAAACCATGTGATTTCTCGGAAGTTAATTATCTGGTAACATCCATGGTAACATTTGTACACAATAAGAGAACGTTTGAAAGAATTACCGCAGAATTATACGTCGTTAATTTTAAACGATTGCCGTGTAAAGCGAGGATAAGTTGTTATTATATTAGACGGAGTATCTGGATCCGAGGCGATCAAGTTAGAGAGGTGGTGGCGATCAAAACATTAAACTTCATTATTCGAAAATTTAATAGAGTCCACTCTATCTCGTTTCACCGCTGCTCATCCATCCACCTTGATTTCATTACAATTATGACGTCGGCTGTAACGGTACTTTCTCTCACAAAAGTCTCGCCGCCCATCTTGCTTTAATAGTAACAGCCCCCTTTCCTATTCGTGCATATAACGAATCCCCTTTTCCGTGTTCCCCGCGATAATTCAAACTACGCCGTGACGTAAACGAATTTACATACGCCCTGAAACCACTTTCGATGAACTCATTAATATGAAAAACCCTTCCCGAGATCGGTATCCACTTTCTCTGTGATAAATGATTCAACAGTTGGGGATCACCCTCTCGAACGAGGTGAACATGAAAGTGTTTTAATAAAGGAACGTGTCGTGCCCCCGAACGTTCCAATTTTTTTCTCTCCCTCTCTTTCTCTTTCTTTCTAAAAAACTATTGAAATCGTCAAAAAATATCTAACACTCTTCAAACAGATATGACCATTTCCCTGAAATCTCGATTCTAAAAAATTTCTAAAAGATATTACCACTTTCGAGAAGCAAGAAGAAGAAACAAGAAAGAGAAAGAGAGAATACTTTTAACGTCCACTTTCTAACTGAATAAATCAATCGGTTAGATCGGTTAACGATTAACCGGTATCGACTTGTTACCGGTAATCTGCTTTTTCAATTCTCTACGTGATCGTGGTGGTGGCGCACGATTAAAGTAAGGATAAACGAGGCGCATTCGTGATCATAACGAAATCGTTGGCCGATAACTCTTGGTGCACGATCGATAGATTAACGTTAACGATTGCTCGATTACGCTCCCGCTTCCTGGATGTACTAATTGCCGGCCATTCCGCAAAGGAAACCTCTCGTTCACCCGGTTCACCGCTTCGCCTGACGTATCAATTAGCATCCTCGGTTTCACTCAACCGCGCCTCTTATTATCGCGATCGATAGATATTAAACTCGAACAAGCGGACGATTTCGGATGATCGACAAAATCACGGCTTCTTTTCCATCTTCTATTCGCGGAAATACTTTTTCTCGATCTATTTCTCAATCTATTTCTAATCTTTGCTTAATGAATTAATGAATCCATAACGCGATAGAGTCAAGATGGCGATTGCAAATTTTGTGTACGTAATTTTGAAACGCTGTGATCGAAAATTTTTAATTAAATATAGAATCTTAGAGAGGTTCGTGAGAAGAGTTATAAAAGATATATATATATATAATTTCTCGTGATTTGATAACGCGTCGTTTCATTTTCATATATCGATACTTTCAATCCTTTATTACAATACCGTGCGAATCTCGTTCCACGTATTAAACGAGCAACCTTTTGTTAACACCGATTATTAAGAATGAAACAAGCATCCCGTTGGCCGTGAGTTTGATACCAGTGTGAGAGAACGTAAGTGAACGTAACACTTACATCAACATCACGAGCATCGTCGTAAAATATTCTTTTTCCTTTCGCGCGTAAAACACTCCTCGAATTAAAGTTGTCTAGACGTAGAAAACACCGATTCGCCAGGTGTGACACCGACCAACGTATCGCGTGTCTCGAAAACAGATATCAGAAGAGTGAACGAATCATCGATACGTTGATGATTTCCTGTTACTTTGCGACAGATATCCCCCCTCTCTAATAATCCTCCAAATGCTTATCTCGTTTATTTATTTATTTTTTTTTTTTCATCGAATATACATTCGACACGATACCCTCCCTATCTACGAGAAAATCAACTCTCCTCTCCAAAAGGAAAAGAAACATCGGCTAAGCGTCGATTGCGTAGATTCTTTTTTTCCCTTTCTTGTCACGTGATCCGACCGAGAATTCAATGAACACGAACCATAAACGCGTATATGACGTCAATCCTGTCCGCGAGAATTTTTCTCATCGATCGTGTATCGTGAATCATCGATAAATCGACACACGCTATTGAAATGTAAGTTAAGATGGTAACTTAATTAACTTCTGTAGATCCTCCTCGCGAGTACACGCGCGCGATCGGGCGAAGTGGGTCATCGCGCAGC